ATATCTGAAATTTTAAGCTTTTTGATAAATTTATTGTTTTGTAAAGGCATCTTTCCATCGAAGTTAAAACAAGTAATTGTAAAACCACTTTTTAAGAAAGGTGACAAGGCAACAGTAAATAATTATAGACTAGTTACTCTCGTGCCTGTGTTATCGAAAATATTTGAAAAAGCTATGTGTAATAGATTAAACTTATTCTGTACAAAGCATAATATATTAAATCGGCAGCAGTTTGGATTTGTAAAGAAAAGTTCAACTACACTTGCATGCTTTCATCTTATTAAATTTGTCACCGAAAGCATATCTCAAAGGATACCTGTAGTAGCAGTACTATTAGACAAGACTCAATCATGATTCGTGGTGAAGCAAATAATTGGATAGCTAGTTATTTGAAAGATAGAAGGCAATGCACTGAAATCTGTAAGATGGTGCCTAAAAAATCGTGACGTAGTTAAATGGCTTGAATTAAATAACCTTAATATTAATTTTGACAAAACGAAAATAATACAATTTACGACATACAAATCAAAAAAAAATAGACATTAACATTAAATTTCATAATAAATCGATAGAAAATATAAATATTTTTGGGTATCACACTTGATGAACAATGCAATTGGAAGGAGCACATTTTTAAAATTTGTAAGAAATTAGACCGATTTGTTTATGCTCTAAGACGATTACGGAGAACAGTGTCGCGAGAGGCAGCTCTATGTGCATATCATGGTTATGTTTCCTCAGTTCTAAGCTACGGGTTATTGTTATGGGGTAACTCTACCGATAGCCAGAAAGCATTTGTAGTACAAAAAAAATGTATTCGCGCTGAATGCAATTTGGGGTACTGTGAGAGTTGTAGATCCCATTTTAAGAAATTAAACATTCTTCCCTTATCGTGTATGTATGTGAGGGATATCTGTTTGTTTGTAAGACAAAATTTAAATTTATTTATAAAACAGTCTGATGTAACACAGAGGCATACTAGGAACAAAAATAAATTATTCTTGCCTAAATCAGGCACCTCATTCTTTAACAGGAATGCTTTCTACATGGCAATCCGTGTATACAATCGTCTGCCAGACACAATAAAGAATGAAACAACTCAAACGTTTAAACGAAAGTTGATAGAATGGCTTCTCAGCAAGTGTTTTATTATTATTATTATTATAGTCTTTCTGAATATTTCAATAACTAATTTTGTTTGTAAAATTATTATTTAATTAATATAATTATAATAGTAAATATAGGTGACATATATAGCAATTTGACGATGACATGTATTATTACTGATTTTCTCTTTGACATATTTATGACAATTTGTATAACATCTATCCATAATTAATTTTTTATAGCTTTGTATTAAAATTTTATGTCGAAATTAAATTAAGACGATTTAATATTTGTACGCCTATAAAAGAGGCACAATAAGTGAACTTCTGTATTAGATTTAAGACCATTATGTATTACCTTATTCTGACAAATAAATAAATAAATAATAAATAATTAAACACAACACATGTTTGTAAGCTCTTTTTTTAAAACTAGTCCCGTCGGGTTTCTTGCTGGTTCTTCCCAGGACAGAGGAATTTTTTGCGAACCCGTGGTAAATGAAAAAAATGACTTTCAATAAGTATTGTTACGATTTTGTTACTCGGCTTTAACATTTTGGACTGTTTCTTCTATAATAACTTTTTGTACGTGGTAGAGCCACGCTACATCTATATTATAGTTGTAGCACGAATGGGTCGGCTCAACCAGGGCAGGACCACGCTCTCACAGAATACCAGCGTAAAATAGCAGCGTAATGCTGATGTGTTTCGTATGGTGAGTGTAGAGAACCGGAGACTCTTTTTACTGGAATCGAGGCATTCCATCTTAGTCGTCAGGGGTGACAACGCATTTGCATTTTGATTCTTAATTGAGGATAAATGTGTATGTCTATGGGACATAGTATCCACTTACCATCAGGTGGACTGTGTGCTCGTTTGTCACCCAATGCTATAAAAAATATTCGTTGAAGCATGTGCCCATGTCACAAAGGATGATTGGGCAAAAGTGGTAGAAAAAAACAAAAAAACTGATTACGGATAACTTTGAAAGAGACATTAATTTTGACTGCATTATTGAAAATGAAATAATAAATATAAATAACGACATACCTACAAGTTGTAGTGAGTGATTGAATAAATTTATTTTTAATCTAGTTTCAATCTTAAATTTTTATAATTGTGCCTCTAGAAATAAGCATTAACAACAAATACGAAGAAACTGATAAATCTTGTGTTTTAAATTATCCGTTTTTAATTTATTCTGGTATTATTCAAACCAAACTGTAAATGATTACCAACTCTAAATAATCGATATCGATTTTTTTAAGAATCGAATATTTTACGTTCCCATGTTTTGGTTGGCATGCTTGGTGCAATAAGTCTGACAGCTGTCAAAAAGTATTTCTTATACCCGTATTTATAAAGAAGTAATTACTTGTTGCTAAGTAATTTCTTAGGTAAGTCATTACTTAGGGTTACATTTCTTAATTACAAAATCTCATTCTATAGTTGAGTAACACACATTACTTACTTGAGCAAATAATCAAGTAACACTCTATGCTTGGTGGTTGTTTCTGTGTTCATAAACATCGTTATGATAATACTGAAGATGAGATATGGAACTACCATAAAGAATTAATGCACCACAACATAAGAAATAAAACTAAAGAGAAAACTAAAGTACAATAAGAGTTACATATGTTCATGTAATCACCTGTCACTCCTATTAAGGGAGATGAGTTGGAGATGTGAGATGGCCTGAAAGACTTATCACCCGGGCTTCTTAGCCTAGCTAAGATCTATTTGCCTATCATGGCAACTTCAGTACCCCGTGAGCGGTTATTCTCAGAGACTAAGCATACAATCACCCAGGAGAGAAACCGCTTACTAGGCGCCAGGTTGTCAAAATCGTTATTTTAAAATTCAACTCTAAAGAAATGAACGTGAAAGTAAAAAAAAATGTATAAATAATTTTTGTTTTCTGTTAACAATAATAATTATTCGATAAAATTAAATGTGTAAAGTAAATAGTGTTCCAGCATAAATTTAATGTTTGGTTATTATACTTGTTTGTTTAATTTTGTCCGAAATGATTATTTATTCGATACATATATGTTTGTGTGTAAGGTTATTTTTTTAATTTATATATATATATATATATATATATATATATATATATATATATACATATTTAAAAAAATCTGTCTCCTCTTAATATATATTATATAGAAAATATATATTATCATATATATTGTCTACAACAGCAAAAACCGTTCCAATGCTATCCAAAGTTTCCATTTCTTTATCCAAAATAACCTCAAAGTAGTGCTTAAGTAAAGGAAATGGTGACTATTACTTGGCTGAGTATTCTAACTTTTGACAGTTCTAACTTGGAGCAATTACTTAACTATCGAATACAAATCGTTACTTAAGTAATTACTTTTACTCAAGTAATTACTTTTACTTGTTTATAAATACGGGTGTTAGATTTGGTTGAATATAGGCAATACACGAACTTTAACGAAAATTAAATTTGAGTCGCGCATCTATTTTTAGTATATAATAATAATAATGTCCTCCAGACCGAATTTCGGCTACGGCGGCCTGCCTCAGCGGAGGCTAACCATCAGCGCAGAACAGGATTAAACTGCCCAAGTGCGCAAGCACAGATGCACTCTCTATTCCCTCACTCTCATAATCCGATGGCACGGTAAACCGACACGATCGGAGAGAGATTAGGCGCAGGACCAACGGCTTTATGTGCTTTCACATGCACGGGAGTGATACACCGCCAACTTCCTGATTCCGGGCAATTACTGAGAATTTCTTGACGGAAAACTCAGTAATTAATTTTTTTGACCCGATCCGGGCTTTGAACCCAGGACCTCATGATATGTAGTCGTACTACTACAACCACTAGACCAACGAGGCAATCATCTCAGTATATATGCCGTAGACAGAGAAACCTATAGATTAATGATTATCGTGGCCTCGAGTGAGAAAGGACAATAACGTAGTTTTAGGTTATACAATAATCTTTATGACTTTTAAACATATTTGGATAAAATTTTTAATTGTTCTAAGAACTGAAATGAACAAGAATCACCAATCTTAAGCTCACAAAACACTTTTTTTCTTACTCAAAGTTGTTTAGCAAAGTGTAGTTTGATAAACAAAAAAACCGGCACGGAGAAAGGGACAAACAATCACAAAGTTCTGTCTCATGTCTATGCACGACGTATGCATAAATCTATCTTTTTCGTGTGTGAATGCGAAAGAAGGCGTCAATTTGTCTATAGGTTTCTCTGTCTACGATATATGCAGTATCAGACATCTCTCAGTATATATACAGTAATCTATGGCTTACCGCTTATAATCGCCATTTTGCTTACAAGCGCTTCCTAGCGCTTTTTTCTCCCAAAACAGCCATTAAAACTTGCTACATATCTATTTATCTATGTCTATGCTGTCCAGATCCCAAAACACGGCAACATAAAATTTCGAAATGGCAGCCCTGATGCTCTTAGTTGCCTATAGTCAGTAATCTATGATTGTCTATGTATGTCTCAGTTGATTGTAGCTGATTGTAGCTTGCTACATATTTATTTAGCTTGCTACATATTTATTTATCTATGTATTTACTTATTGTGGTCACAGAACCATAGATAAATAAATATGTAGCAAGCTACACAGAACACTATTACTCCTATATTGTGGTTGATTGCACAAACTAATAAAAGTACTAACGTAGTTGATTGTTGAAAACTGGGTACCTGCTGTTTATTAATGAAAAAAGAGAATTCAATTATATTACAGCAATATAGAAAACTAGTATATAGTGATCTGTGATAGACAACGGGAATGGCCTTTAGTGAAGTTTGTAGAATTTGTTTAAACGTAAATGTACGCATGCTTATACTAAAGAAGATTGGCCTCCAAGAATTGTATAAAACGTTGACGAACAATTTTGTAAGTTTGTGAATATTTCTTATTGCGAATTGAAGTTGCGGTAATTTTTTAATTTCATTTAATTATCGTACCAGTATTTTCCTTAGCCAATGTTTGTTTTTTATCTTTTGTATCACTTTCTCTACTATATTTTTTAAGGTTGGCATTTCCAATATGGACCATCGATTTAAATGCCCATATTGTTTTGTAGATAGTACTCACTAAAAGAAAGCGTTTTGCAAAGTTTTAGGTTGCGGAAACTTACGGTTCATGAGATATATATTTTTTAACTTTTCGTACAAATTGGCAAATAACACGCAATTACAAAATAAATTTGACAAATAATGGTCAACATTTTTTCTAATTAATGAAATGAAATTCTAATATTTTCAATTAATACTAAAAATGAAACTGTAATATAGAAAAACTAACACTAAAAGTTAATTAGACAAATAATTGATGTCAAACGTCAATCACTTCACTTTTCAATTAGTGTAGGGTTCGGAAAATTTTGAAAGTATCGATACCTACTCGATATCAAGTATCGCGTCAAAAGTATCAATATTACTTGGTATCGAGCACATTTCGTTAATTTTGGAGACTAACTTTCCAATACGGACCATCGATATATGAGGTTTTAGGGGTGGGAGGGGGGATGGATACCCCCTGTGCCATCCCCACCCTGCGGAACCCCATGGTTTTGGTGATATTCATGGTTAAAATTTATTATATTATTTATTATTCTTCTCGTTTCCATATGTCTGGTGAAATGGTGGGGGGATATGGGGGAGGAGGGGTAAAATTAACTAGATTAAATGAAGAAAAGTGAGGGGCTTATGGGAGGAGAGGGGGTGTGCGGTTAGTAGCAAAGAAGTGGTGTGGTGGGTTAGTAGTGCGGAAGTGAGATGGGGGCGCTCCGTGGCAGCTCCGGCGCTGCGGAATGAGCAGTCCCTCCGCCCTAGTGTAGGAAAGCACAGGCACCTGAGCTTTATCTCGGTGCCTGCGCTTCCCTACGGTGGGCGGGTACTGCTCTCCCTCCGCGCCTCTGGGCTCTTATATACACTCTAGGGGTAGGGCAGAAAAGACCACGCGGATAGTGGGGTGCTCTGATTCGGTTTTGAGTACTTTTTGGATATTAAATAAGTAAGTAAACACTTTATTGTAGTAAGAATTAGATAATACAGAAAGTTGCAAACAATAAAATACAAGTATAAAAGCTGTACTAATTAAGAAATACAAACACGTTGCAAACAATGAAATACAAGTACTAAGGTGGAACTTAAATAGAGTAAACTTTATTCTACTTTATATAAATATATAATTGCACTTATCAGATCTTCCTATGCATCTAATTGGTTTGTCATAATTTTTCGTCTCCAAAATTAATGAAATGTACTCAATACCAAGTAGTATTGATACTTTTGATAAGATACTTGGTATCAAGTAGGTATCAATACTTTCAAAATATTCGGAACCCTACACTAATTGGCATTTGACATCATTCATTTGTCAAATTTATTTTGTAATTGCGTATTATTTGCCAATTTGTATAAAAAGTTTAAAAAATATATCCCATGAACCGTAAGTTTCTGCAACCTAAAACTTTGCAAAACGCTTTCTTTTAGTGAGTACTATCTACAAAAAAAATATGGGGTTTGAAATCGATGGTCCATATTGGAAATATTAGCCTATATTATATATTATATCCTGAGATATAAATCATATCCCGCGATTGCTGTTCACACTGTGAGATATATCTTTTAACCAGTGTGCGTTCATCATTGGAAGATTTGAGCACGTAGCGGAGGTGCGGAAGGGTGTACGGGGTACAGGAGGCGAAATATAATATGAAAATATCGCTCTGTCAATCGAAAAAATATTTATAGTTTGGGATGTAATATATATTACATATCAGTGTAAACGGTTTCATTTAAAAGTATGGTGAGTGATATTAATTTATTTCTTGAGATGAAATATAAATTATATTTATCCCATAGTAAAAAGTGGGCTTTATGACACATAAAGAAATTTTGCCGTTTGCAGCTCCTCTTATCTGAGCTGCTTCAATCTCGCACAATTTATATTTTTACTTACTTGAGTTTTCTATCAGTCTTTGTAAAACGATGTAACATAATAATATTGCACTTGCTTTTGCAAAGTGGAACACAACAAGTATTCATCATTATAAAGAGTATGTTAAATTAATCCTACCCTCTATCTACGAGTACACTTCTTCAGCTTCATCATAATTTTGAGCATGAGAGGGAGAAGCAGAGATCAGAGGATCAGAGACAGAGATCTATAACTTTGACATACTTCATTGACTGTGGTGACTAGTGTAGTGTTAACTACTACTGGGCTGCAGCGACCACGGACCATCAGGTGGAATGCAAGTTTATTTGTCACTTCAATTTTATAAAAAAATGATGTTGATGCGGAGAATTGTGGTAGCCAAGAGATTTTATTACGATCTTTTATATTTAAGCAGTTTTCCATATTTACGATGCACTTTGATATTTTCAGATGGATGAGGAGCCCATAATTGTCTGTTTCATGTGTCATGCAAGACTCATTCGTTGCAGAAAATTACAACAACAGGCTATTGAGTCAAGTGCAGTTCTGGAGCAGTTGCTTGCAGGAGGGTCCATGGTATTATCCATTACAACCTATAACAATCCACTGCCAAATATAGGCCTCCCTCATGGATTGCTTCATAGGATGAAGTTTTTGCCACGCTTGGCAAACTGGCAACCGTGGTTTATATTAGTCTTAGTTGTCCTTCAATCCAACTTACTTTTCCATTAGTACAATCTATATTTTTTACGTTTTATGAATTTTAGTAAGTAAAGTACCTACTTATTTTCACAAAAATAATTATCTAACTGTTTATACTTAGAGGGATGGTGTGGGGTAGTATGGATTCCCCCACACCACCACTACAATGGCTTTTTTCTCTTATTTAAAAAAAATTGGTTTCAGTCAATACCAAAATCACACAAGGCTAGAGATGAGATTCAATTCACACCAATTTATCACATAGATATCTGGCCAGTAGAGTGTGGTATAGAAAATGATTGTAAGGACAACATTTTTAGCCTTGAATCTGTTAAAGTGGAAGAAGAGAATTTCGAAAATGAGAATCATGAAACAGGTAAGGTTATACACATTTTGTATTAAGATTATACACAGGTCAGGATCACAAACAAATGATGAGTCTTTGTTTGCAGAATCTACTTACCATCAGGTGACACAGTACACCTGTAACTGTGTACTGTGTGCCCATTTGCCGTCCATAGTCTGTAAAATACTATATATATATATATGAAAAAGACGTCCGCATATAATCTATACTAATACATTAACACAATCAGCATAACGAAATCAAACATCGAAAATTAAAACTGAGCTAATGCACTTCTGGTTGTGTTGGAGTCCCAGTCAGAGATAATGTTAGTGTAAAAAAAATTCTGAATAGGTAGCATTCAAATTGTAATTCAACAATTTTGTTGGTACCAGTGGAAATCAAACCCGGGTACAGTAACACGAGCAGTACTGTGATATTTTACGGCAAACGCCTAGCTCCTGAGCTGTCAGTACTTTTATGGGTGTTTTTGTCAATCCATCTTAATTGTCCTGTACACTTCCACTGCTGAACATGGAAGGATCTCTGCCAATGTAGGGAGGATTTGCCTTAATGGTCACGCTTGGCATAGGATTAACAAGTGAGCACCTTTGACTCTGCTGCTCATCGCCGGTTTGTATATTTTACATCTGAAGTAAACGAGGTGGTTATACCGCCATCTGGTGGTGGTCATCAGAATTTTCTGGCAAACTCATAGTCGCCTCTTACGAAACCTAGAGGACAAAATGTGATAATGAATTCTATTATGCCGCACCTTCACGGCAACTTCGACTATATTCTTAATATCTACAAAAATACTGGTTAAAATGTATGTAAGTATAGCACCACTTGTGTGGGATTCGAAACAGCGATTATTAGATTAATGTAATTATAACGTGGTCAGAAGAATGTCATCATTGTCATGTGAATTTAGTCTATCCACCATACTTTCCCTCCAAATATGAGAGTCAGAGAATTCAGCAACATTATACGAGTATAATTATGTAAAATGTTATAATATTTCTTTTTTCCTTAAGTTAATTGATAGAGATTATATTACTTATATTGCCATAAGGCATAAATTCCGCCCATTGTAAACCTTTTATGGTGTCTTACAATAAGTAAAATGTTTGATTTATGTATATTTCAGAACAATACATCACACCGACAGATAATTTTTCAAAACCGTCTGAGAGAAAGATTAAATCAAATTTTACTGATAACATAAACAATGTTCATAAAGGAAACCTCGATTTAGAAAGTGCTACTATTAAATCAATGCCTAAGCTAAAAAACGATTGTCAATCAGTTATTAAAAAAGGGAACCATCTTGCAAAGCTTATAAAAAAGAAAATATTGCAACAAAATAGTGTAAATATACTCACGAAAAAAACATCTGGAGCATCAACAAAATACATTTTTGAATGTGATGCTTGTAGCAAAAAGTTTTCAACAAAAAACATTCTCGCTAAACATATTTCATACAGCCATAAGACACAAAAGAACTCAGACACCACTGCAGTTCGGACACAAATTGAACAAACTCCAGCACCACATCTAATGGAAATATTTAATTGTGATATTTGTGAATTTAAAACATCTTATAAACGTCGCCTTTTGACACATCTTAAAGCGCATGTCGCTAAACAAGTGTACTGTTGTAATAATTGCGATAAATGTACAAATAAAATCTATTTGCAAAGACATATAAAAATAAATACTGGAGAAAAACCTTATATCTGTAATATCTGTGAATATAAATGTATTGCAAAAAGTGATTTACGAAGACATATGAAAATACATACCGGAGAAAAACCTTTTTCATGTAATATCTGTGGATATAAATGTATTAGAAAAGATACTTTGCAAAGACATATGAAAATACACACCGGAGAAAAACCTTTTTCATGTAATATATGTGAATATAAATGTATTGCAAAAAGTGATTTACGAAAACATATAAAAAAACACACTGGAGAAAAACCTTTTTCATGTTATATCTGTGAATTTAAATGTATTGCAAAAAGTGATTTACGAAAACATATAAAAATACACACCGGAGAAAAACCTTTTTCGTGTAATGTCTGTGAATATAAATGTAGTAAAAAAACTTATTTGCAAAGACATATGAAAATACACATTGGAGCAAAACCTGTTTCGTGAGCTATGTACAATCTGGTAAAATATGTACAAATTATGTAAACGTGTTTTATATAAATATAAAAGTATACCAGATAAACATCCATTGGTCATAAATTTCTTATGTGATTGATGCACGTGATCCGCGATTTTCAACAGGCTTCAAAAAGGACGAGGTACTCCATTAGACTGTATGTTTTTTTGTTTGTTTACCTCAGAACTTTTTTCTGTGTGAGCCGATTTTGATAATGTTTTTTTTTTTATTTGAAAGCTGATGCTTGTTGTGTGGTTCCATATAAAATTGATCAAAATGTGACCAGCTGTTTTTGAGCTATTCTTAATAATGCGTATTTAATTGACTTCAAATTGAAATTTGAAATTGAAAAATCTTTATTGTTTTGGAAAAAATAAATAACTTAATTAATAATTTTACTTTTGATTTGATGATTGTTGTAACTTTTACTAAAACTAATAAATTAAATTTATTGTATGGTAATGGCGCAAGGTAATAAAAATGTGTTTTGGCAAAAGCGCCATTATTTCTGTATTATCTGTGAATTTAGATGTATTACAAAAAGTATTTTACAAAAACATATGAAAATACACACCGGAGAAAAACATATACGAAAAACTGATTTGAGAAGTCACATAAAAATATACACTGGAGAAAAACCATTTTCTTGTAATACCTGTAAATATAAGTGTATTACAAAAAGTACTTTACAAACACAAGAAAATACACACCGGAGAAAAACCTTTTTCGTGTAATATCTGTAAATATAAATGTAATATAAAAAGTAATTTGTAAAAACATGAAAATACACACCGGAGAAAAACCTTTTTCGTGTAATATCTGTAAATATAAATGTATTTTAAAAAGTAATTTGAAAAATCATATGAAAATACACACCTGAGAAAAACCTTTTTCTTGTTATATCTGTGAATATAAATGTATTACAACAAGTAGTTTGCAAAGGCATATGAAAATACACGCCAGAAAAAAACCTTTATCGCGTAATATCTGTGAACATTTATAATGTATTCGTATTACAAAAAGTAATTTGTAAACACACATGAAAATACAAACAAGAAAAAATATTTATCAAGTAATATCTGCTGTTTGCACCAAAGAGAAAATGAAGAAAGTTGGAAAATTGATAAGAGAAGACCGTCGAATAACTTATAGGCAGATAGAAGATATCCTGCAGATTAGTGCAACAAGCATTTATAAAATTCTGCACGATATAAATGAATTTGAAAAAATTGTTCGCTTTGGGTGTCGCATGACTTAAAGAAAAACAAATGGTATCCAGAGTGACTTGATGTAAGAAAATTTTAAGTGATGAGTATGAATATGGAACTTCTTACTACGTAATTAATATCATCATGAGTGATGAAACCTGGCTGTATTATTTTGATATGCCTTCCAAAAGTAAGAACAAAATTTGTTTGTTTGAAAATGAGCCTACTCCAATTCTAGTTCGAAAATCTTGGTCAGTAAAAAAGAATCGAAGAAGAAGATTGAGTAGTTTTGGAGTCACCATACATTTACGGTCTCTTGGTACACAAAATATTGTTTGCATAAAGTGATCCAAAAACTAGTAAAAGCTCCATCCAAAGCGTTTTCATCACGATAATGCTCCTGCGCATAGGTCGCGTGAAACTGTGAGCTTTTTACAAGATGTTGGAGTAAACCTGCTCAAACTTTTTTTTTAATTTTTATTGCTTAAACATCCTCCGTACATTGCTAATCTTGCCCACTGTGACTTTGGTCTGTTTCCAGTTATTAGGAACAAATCAAGGGAAGGAGGTTTGCCAGTGTCACGGAGTTGTTAGCAACTTGGGACCAAGCTTGCTCTGATTTTGCAGAAGAAGAATTGAAACAAACTTTTAATGATTGCTTTATACGAATGAATAAGTGTATAAGCTGTAGTGGTAATTATTTTGAAAGATTGTTATAAATAAAGCTTTATCGCAGGACTTATTTTGTGACTTTATTACACTCTATTCTGACGATATTTCTATAACTATACATAAAAACCTAGCACTGATTGTAATGATGAAATAAATAGTGAAACAAAAAATATAACGAATTGGCTAAAATATAATCATTTGAAAATGAATAAAAGTAAAACAAAGTATATACAATTTTACAACAAAAATAATAGACCCTAAGAACTATCGGTACACCATGGTAACGAATAACGATACCATTGCCATGACGCCATCAGCGACCCTATATTTATTTTGAACATTATGCAATTTTAATATTGACCAAAAAAAAGATTACCTCTTTACAAAACAACATAATGATCGTGGTGGTACAAGAAGGTACCCGTGGAAGTTATCTGTGCCTGCAGCAGCCGTAACTCGTTTTGCTAGAAATAGTCATAGCACATGCGTTTGTCTATTCAATTTACTTCCGAATCATTGTCATATTCTAAACATGACATTTAATCTTAAAAAAAATATTTTTGGGATTCTGGTTAAAAACTGCTTTTATGACAAATGAATTTATCAAATTCTGCCGTGACGGTCACCTCAAGCGAATTGTTGCTAATGTTTGAAATTTTAAATTAACAAATGAATTAGAAATTATTGACATTATGCATTACGACATGACCACGCTTGTATATATTTTTTCTCTTTTTTAAATTCATAATTTATTGACATTATCCTGTTTTATTTAATTTTAATATGAAATGTTAATATAATTTTCTAATTTTAATTATTCAATTGCATATCGACGTAATATTTGCATACCGATAAATCGGTTAAACATGCATGTTCACACTATGTTACGAGATCTAAAAATGGAACCATTTTTTAGGCAATTAAATATTTTATAATTATTATTATGTTAACAGAAGGTAAACTAAAAAAATCTATATTTTGCAATGTTACTATGTAAATATATAATGAACAATAAATAAATGACATAAAACTGCAACAACTCACATCTAGCATCTTTCTCATCAATAAATACGAAATAAACTTTTGGTAGATCCAAATGCGTCCAAATTCTTAAACGTTCATGTTATACGTCAATTTTTCAAAGTATTATAAAAACAAAAATTTTCACAAATAACCTTATTACTATTACTTCTAATTTTCCGATAATTTTATGTCAAAAGTCATAAAAAAAGTTTGGAAAATCCAGAAGTGCACGACTCATATGATCGTGTAAAAATGTAGAAAAATTTCTCAATCAACATCAGAAAATATATTTTTTATTTTACCTACTATGTTATTATTATTGAAATTGAAAAACTTTTAACAAACTTATCTTAAAACGATCGGAAATCAACTTTAATATTACATTAATTTTTAGGTAGTTTACTCAATCTTTATCGTAAAAACTAGTTTACCTAACTCAACTTTTTTACCTGACTCGTTAATATTTTTTTTCTTATCAATATTTCGTTTTCGATAAGTTTCTCATCTAGTTATAACCAATATTTTAAGTTAGCATTCACTAAAGTACGCCTTCAGGTCATTATCAAGTCAAGATCTCATCATAACTAACTAAAGTTCCTGTAGCAGATACCGAAGTACACCTTCAGGTCACTCCATAAAGTCCAAGACGTATAAGTATATTTATATATAAGTCCTCCGTATTTTAGCGAAATAATATATTGTAATGAAAATCTGTGATAGTAAAAATAATAATATCTTACCTTGTTCAAGTATCAATATTTTGTATTTCTACAGCGATCGATATTTTTCATCACGAGCCGCTGTAAGCAAACGATACAGTAACTCACTCACGACGGCGGCCGAGCCCGGAGGATGGATCTGTATTTAGTAAAATGTATTATTACAAGGCTGCTCAAGACATCGAAAATTTCGGAACTACTCAGCCGAAAAAATTATAACTAAACAAAATAAAGTTAAACAGCCATTTACATTCCATGGCTTCCCACTATTAAGACGAAGTGAGTAAAAATAGATTGAGTTGAACTTTTTAAACACTTGACTTGATAAATCTACACCATAGGCAACTAAAACCACGTTTTTTAATTTAATAATAGCAATTATATTTACGTTA